ATTTTTGTGGTGAGAACACTTAAGATCTACTCTGTCAGTAACTTTCAAGTACACAATATATTGTTATTAACTATGAGAGTTTGCTTTTTTAAAAGAAAAATCTAGTGATTCTTTCTAAAAACCAAGGACTTGCATACCTTAGAGATCAGTCTCCTCATATCCCTGAAGTTTTCAAAACCAGATGTTTTGAACACTGCTTTTTGTCTGTTTGTTTTCGAGACAGCATCTTGCTTTGTCACCCAGACTGGAGTGCAGTGGCTCAGTGGAGCAATCGCAGCTCACCGCAGCCTCCAGCTCCCTGGCTCAGACAATTCTCCTGCCTCAGCCTCCAGAGTAGGTGGGACTACAGGTGTGCACCACCACGCCGGCCTAAGTTTTGTATTTTTTGTAGAGATGGGGGGGTCCCACCATGTTGCCCAGGCTGATCTCAACTCCTGGGCTCAGGGGATCTGCCTGCCTTGGCCTCCCAAAGTGTTGGCTTACAGACATGAGCCACCATGCCCAGACTTGATGACTTCCTTACTGCCCAGAGAGCAGAGAAATCTTTCCTGCCTAATCTGTGGAGTCAGTCTTGGAAGTCATGTCTGGAGTCTGGCAAGCCTCAAAGATGCGGGCTAGCTTTTCACATCCTTGGAGGGGGTTTCGATGATCTAAGTAAGAAGAGGTGCACACCGCCAGTTTACCGTCAAACTTCACTCTTAGCCCTCCTTTACCCTACAGTTCTCTGGGGAGGGGGAGGAGATGGCGAAGACCCTCTCCAGGGAGGTTTCTGAAGGGTCACAGCCAGGAAACTGGAAAGTGCTGGGGAGCGATGTGGTGGTCTGCGTGTAATCTGCATGTGTGTGTGGTTTTCAAGCATCCTCCTAAAACGTCCAAAACATCCTCCTAAAACATCCTCCTAAAATGTCCAGGAATGGATAGAATCCACAGTAAGATTTTGTGATTTTGGTGTCTGAAGCTTTCTGCATTTTTTTGTCTTTTTCCACCTCGTCCACGCACTCCAGCCACTCAAATTCCCTGTATCTAAAGTATGGAGAGAAGATGTCAGGAATGTGTGAGAATGCCCCCAGATGGTCTTTTGGAGTAACCCTGCCCTCCCAGACAATTTTGGTGCTGGCTGCCTCCAGGAACCCGACTCTGTCAGTCGCTTTCTATTTTGCTCCGTGGATCAAGCCTCTGCAGAACCTTCACAACAAGCCTTGCCTTGCAGACAGCCTTTGTGAGGCAGTCATCATGGCTCAGTAACGGCAGCAGGAAGAGGCAGACATGGAGCTACAAGCATAGCAGCTGAGATTCCAGGAAAACGGGATGTTCTGCACTTAGCATCCGGTTAGTCTACCAGCGAGAGTGGAGCTGGGTCATAGGTCCAGGTTCAGGGTAAGGATCCTGAGATGGTGTGGCTGTGTCGCCACACAGATCTCATCTTGAACTGTAGCTCTCATAATTCCCACCTGTTGCAGGAGGGACCCAGTGGGAGGTGACTGAATCATGGGGGCGATTTCCCCCATACTGTTCTCATGCTAGTGAGTCTCATGAGATCTGATGGTTTCATAAGGAGTTTTCCCCTTTTGTTTGACTCTCATTCTCTCTTGCCTGTTGCCATGTAAGATGTGCTTTTTGCCTTCTGCTGTGATTGTGAGGCCTCCCCAGCCATGTGGAACTGTGAGAGTCCATTAAACCTTTTCCTTTATAAATTACCCAGTCTTGGGTAGGTCTTTACCAGCAGCGTGAGAACAGACTCATACAGAACCCCGTCTCTGAGAAGTCCAGTTCTAGAAGAACTGAGTTACCGGGGGCAAGACCCACACGGTGCATGGTGAAGAACAATACCCTGTTTCAGCAATCCAGGTGGGCACTTTCGTGTCTCATCCACGGCTTTTTTTTTTTTTTAGAACTAGGACCTAATGTCAGAGTCATAGACAAAACAAGAGTAACTCAATGCCGAATGATGGAGAATGAAAGCTGAGCTGCAGAAATTTCTCCAGCTAAAGTCAGGCATCCTGGGCACCCTTTTCTAGGACTATCACCCCAGGGCACACCCCTCACCGTTACTTTCCCCATATATTCCCACCCCAGTAGCTCCCATGGCTACTACAGAGCCATAGCTATGTTGGGCCCAGGTGATTGACTGGCTCAAGGGTGACTTGTGACCAAAGATAAGCCAACCAGGGCCCTTTCCAGAGATGTGTAGATGCGGGGCTCTAGTCTTTGAGACGGCTTCTCCCTGGTGCCCGTAGCAGACCCTGTCAGTGTCTGACACACGTCCCCTCATAATTGCCCACTCACTCTGCCATCCATCTGTTTTGACTTTACTTGATACATTCCCTTTAAAGGGTTCTCTGCACATTCTATTGACCCACAGGTTCTTCAGGTAGTTAATGTGCTATTAATAATCTGATATTCCTGCTCCCTTTCCACTTACATTTTGCTCTGTTAAATGCCAGAAGATCAAGAATGATTTAGTCATTTTTTTCCATTGGGTTTTACACAGCTTCTTGCAGAGCAGTCCAAAAAAAATTCTTAATTTTAAAGTGAAAGAATCCCTGAAACTCTATAGCTCCTCCCTGGTATGCAGAACCTTTATGGTATTTGGAGTTTCCGAGTGGCCCTTTCCAATACCAGACACCTGAGCCAAACCTTAGTTAGTTTCAGTAAAAACTCCTCAAGCCTGAAGTTAGGTGAATTTCAAATAAGCTGTATTTCTCAAGAAACAGACTGATTCTGACACAGAACCTCATTTAGCTATTTTTGTGCTATGTGCTTGCTTCATCTAGTAGATTATAAACTTTTGGAGGAGAAGATATAAGTGTTAGATCTCTTTGTATTCCTCAGCTCAGTACCTTACACTTTATAAATATTTAATAAGTACAAGTTTGCCACGTGAATGAATCAATCACATTTCCTACGTTAAGTACAAAATTAATGATTTAATAGTCATGAATCAAATAGATAACCTCACTGGCATATATTTTAAGGTATGCTGTTATAGACCTAATGGGTGCTTTTATAATGGACACTCAATATTGATTAAATTCAGCAAAACTAATAGGCACTTTATTTTTGCATATAATACACCCAACTGCTAAGATACAAGTTTCCAAATATGTATACTACATAGAGAAAATCTCCTGCCTTTCCCATCAAAGAGTGTTTAACTCTTTGAGGGAATAGGGAAGTCTCTCTGGCTAAGCAGAAATGGAATCTGCCGGCCGGGTGCGGTGGCTCACGCCTGTAATCCCAGCACTTTGGGAGGCCGAGGCGGGTGGATCACAAGGTCAAGAGATCGAGATCATCCTGGTCAACATGGTGAAACCCCATCTCCACTAAAAACACACAAAAAAATTAGCTGGGCATGGTGGCGCGTGCCTGTAATCCCAGCTACTCAGGAGGCTGAGGCAGGAGAATTGCCTGAACCCAGCAGGCGGAGGTTGTGGTGAGCCGAGATCGTGCCATTGCACTCCAGCCTGGGTAACAAGAGCGAAACTCCGTCTCAAAAAAAAAGAAAGAAAGAAAGAAATGGAATCTGCCCAAGGACACGGAGTAGACAATTTGAATGAACGGGGAGTATTTGGTTAGTCTGGCATAGGCCAGTATTCAATTAGAAACAAGAGGAGGCTGGGTGTGGTGGCTCATGCCTGTAATCCCAGCACTTTGGGAGGCCAAGGCAAGCAGATCATGAGGTCAGGAGATTGAGACCATCTTGGCCAACATGGTGAAACTCCATCTCTACTAAAATACAAAAAATTAGACATGCATGTGACACGTGCCTGTAGTCCCAGCTACTCAGGATGCTAAGGCAGGGAAATCGCGTGAACACAGGAGGCAGAGGTTGCAGTGAGCCGGGATTGTGCCACTGCACTCCAGCCTGGCAACAGAGCAAGAGTCTGTCTCAAAAAAAAAAAAAAAAAAAAAAAAAAAGAAAGAAAGAAAGGAAGAAAGGAAGAAAGAAACAAGAGAGAGCCCTTCCTACTACCTCAATCCAGAAAACAGGGGTCATGGCACCCGTGAAAGATGCTCTGGGAAGATCCCACAGGAAGTGGATCCAGAGAGGTCCTGCTGGGTGGCCGATCCAACAGGACACGAGTGGGGACAGAACAACCCCACAAGCCCATGGAGAGAAGCAACAGCTCTAGGGACAATGTGGGCTTCCAAAGACCTGGGACCCAAGGTTATTTCAGCTTCCCACTTCCTGCTGCACGCAGACTCCCATCCACAGCCTCGGATTTTTGCGTAAGGAGAAGCAGTCCACCACTCTCAGAGGAACACAGGGAGGGGGCACAGAAATTCCCACCCCTTGTGGGCCAAGAGAGAAAATTAGAGGGCCTGAGGCAGAGAAACACTGTGCTATGCGCCTCCACGTTGACTCTACTTCCAGGCAGGTAACCTGGGTGAGAAGTGCACACACACATAGATGAATGTGTCGGATGCTGGGTGGCTCAGTGGAAGCATCCAGCTGGAGAGAAGCCTCTGCTCCCTGTGGCCTCTCTAGGCTTCAAGTCTTCCCAGCTCTATCTGGTGCTGGGATGGGTCCTGCTGCTGGAGGCCGTGTGCAGTTCACCCAGTGTCCACTCCATCCTACAATGGTAACAGCACCCTGGTTTTCCTCTGGGGACCCAGCCTTCCCCCATGCTCAGTCCCCATCTTCCTGCTCTAGAAGTAGACACACATGCCCTGTGCTGGCCAGTGGGTTCCATCTCCCTGGCCACAACACTAATTTAAGGGGAGGACGTGTGACCAAAGCTCAGGGGGTCAGCCCAGGGTTTATGGCTGGAACAGAGGAAAGAGGCACCCTTTTTCCATGGGGTAAGGCCAGATATTTGGATGGGGGGATGGGGTGGAGAAGCGAAGGGCATTGTGTGGGGAGTGGGTGCCTGAGAGTGAAACCAACAGTGGAGGTCAAGGAAGATAGCACAGGCCTGGCTCGATCCCTTATCACAGCCAAGAAACCTGCTGTGCTTAAACCAAATTGAGTTTTTAGCACTTAGAACTAAATGAGCTCTTCATCTGAATACAACTGCTAATGGTTCCCCCATTAGAAAAGGAAACACAAGGGAGGAACAAGCCCGGTGCCACAGCGTGAACTACCACGGTGGCAACTTTGGAGGGTCCCCGTTTCGTGCCTTTCTTTTTCTCCTCCAAGAGCACTCGCCACACAGGCCATACTCCTTTGAGAGGCAGCCAGCGATTCTCAACCAGGGAGCACTTTGCGTCACGGTGTCTGACGGTGGAGCGGTGGGTTTTCTGTAAGTGTACTTAAAAACCTTCACAACCAGTTTCCATCCCATAGACCAGAAAATTGCTGAAGTTAGTAGACATTTGAAGTGTCTCTTCCTCAAGCCCAGAAAAGATTTCTGCTGTTGCTATGTTTAAAAACCCACGGCAAGTTGTTTTGGCTTATGTCTTGTTGTTATATAATAAACATGATAAGCTCTGTAAGCTCGGAACACCGGTTGCGAGGATGAAAATAGAGGCCTCGCAATAATATGTGCCCTGGAGATGCTTTGTGGAGGGTGAGGGGAAGATAATAGTTTTCTGTGAGTGTTTAAATAGCAATATGTGTGGAGTAGATTCAAAATTGCTATGTAAATTCCTAAAGGAAACAGTAGGGAAAAAAGAAGAAGGTTATGGATTAAAAGGAAGAGGTTATATATTAATGTAAGGGAAAAATATAATCAACAACCAAATAAGAGCTATTTTTAATAAGACAGAGGACCCAGGAAAGGTGGACTGATCTATTGTAGAAAGGAGATAAGCTTTCTATGCCATGTAACAAATTACTATAAACCTAGCCACTTAACAAAACACAAACTCATGATCACCTAGGAGCTCAGAGCAGTCCCTGGTGACAGCCAGCAAGAAAGTGGGGCGGAAGTGAAAGTGTGACGTGGCTGGGTTCTCTGCTCGGGGTCTCATGAGGCTGGCATCAAGAATTCAGTTGCTTGTGGTTGTAGGACTGAGTTGCCCACTCTCCTGCTGGCTATTACTGGGGACTGCTCTGAGCTCCTGGAGGCCTCTTCTATTTTCTGATCCTGTAGCCCTCTTACAATGTATGTATTGGCTTCAAGAAAAATTCCTGTCATGCTTCTGATCGCTGACTTCTTTGATGTCTAACCTCTACACCCTCTTTTAAAGAGTCACTTGGTTAGGTCAGGCCCACCCACTCAAGGGATGGGATCACACAGGTTGTGCACACTGGGTGAAGGAATCTTGGCGGCCACTTTAGAATTCTATTACTGTGATCAAACTTTTGTGCCTAAGTAGGGACCCAAAATGTATCATTTTAATGCACTACATTATGGACTGAATGTTTGTGCCTTGTCTCACCCCAATTCATTTGCTGAAGTCCTAACTCCCAATGTGATGAGATATGGAGGTGGGCCCTTTGGGAGGTAATTCGGGTTTAGATGAGGTCATGAGGGTGGGCCCCCATGACAGGATTAATGTCTTATAAGAAAAGGGGCTGGGCGTGGTGGCTTACGCCTGTAATCCCAGCACTTTGGGAGGCTGAGGCAGGTGGATCACGAGGTCAAGAGATCAAGACCATCCTGGCCAAGATGGTGAAACCCTGTCTCTACTAAAAATACAAAACTTAGCCGGGCATTTAGCATGTGCCTGTAGTCCTACCTACTTGGGAGGCTGAAGTGGAAGAATTGCTTGAACCCAGGAGGTGTAGGTTGCAGTGAGCCAAAACTGTGCCACTGTGCTCCAGTCTAGGTGACAGAGCAAGACTCCATCTCAAAAAAAAAAAAAAAAAAAAAAGGAAAAGAGACTACCCACTCTTTCTCTTTGTCATGTGAGGAACACACAGTGAGAAGGCAACCATCTGTAAGGCAGGAAGAGAGCCTTCCCCAGGAGCTGAATCTGCCAGCATCTTGATCTTGGACTTTCCAGTCTCCAGAACCATCAGAGAGAAATGTCTGTTGTCTGAGCCACCATAATCTTATGCCGTTATAGCAGCCTGAGCTAAGATGATACTGGAGGCCCTGTTACATACTTCAACATGAGCCTTTTGTAACACAGGCTGGACAAAGGCTGTGAAACACTCAGTATCTCAGTATTTAGAATTTTCCAATGTGTATGCCCTTCCTTATACACTTCATTTGCTTATCCCCTTATTCATTCAACAAAAGAGCTCCTTTTATTTTATTTCATTCTACTTAAGAGAAAGGGTTTCACCATGTTGCCAAGCTGATCTCGAACTCCTGACCTCAAGTGATCTGCCGGCCAAGGCTTCCCAAAGTGCTGGAATTACAGGCGTGAGCCACTGTGCCTGGCCAAGGAGCTGCTATTATCCTCTCTGCACTGTGCTTCCGCCCAGGGCCAGGGCTAGGCTGTGGCCAATAAGGCCCTGAGAGCACAAGGTTTAAGGAGAAACTCACTTGCACAACCCTGAGAGAGAGTGCCACCTGACATTGCCTGCCCTCCACCTTCTCCTGGCCCTTCCAGGCACAGGGGAAATAAAGACTTCATTTTCTAAGCCACTTTTTTCCTCAAGACACCCACAGGTTAAGAGGTCAGAAACAGGGCATACCATACTGGCTTTTGCAACCTCAATTGCTCATTTCACAAAAGCACAAAATGTCCCCTAAGAACAGCTGAGTATAATTTGATGATTCAAAAGTTTAGAGTCATTTTAACACTATTAAAAGAAAATGTGACACTCATATAAACTTGACACTACATGTCACTGAATCACAACTGAAGAAATCTTCACCACCTGTTGCTCCATTGAAATGATTATACAGTTTTCTCACATTCCATGAAAAAGCCCATGTTTCTCAGGCACAAGGTAACTGCCTCTTTCACTGACATTTTCTCTCTCCTTCTGTTTTCAGTTTTGTTTGTTTGTTTGAGTCAAGGTCTCACTTTGACACCTAGGATAGAGTGCAATAGTGCAATCTCAGCTCACTGCAGCCTCAGCCTCCTGAGGTCAAGCAATCCTTCCACCTCAGCCTCCCAAGTAGCTGAGACAACAAGCATGCACAACCTTGCCCAGCTAATTTTGTTATCAGAAAGGGGTCCCAATCCAGACCCCAAGAGAGGATCCCTGGATCTCCTACAAGAAAGATTTCAAGGCAAACCCATAGAGTAAAATGAAAGCCAGTTTACTCAAGGAGTAGAAGAATGGCTACTGCATAGGCAGAAAAGCCCCGAGGGCTGCTGGTTGCCCATTTTTATGGTTATTTCTTGATTATGCTAAACAGGGGGTGGACTATTCATGCCTCCCCATTTTAGACCATATAGGGTAACTTCCTGACGTTGCCATGGCATTTGCACACTGTCGTGGCACTGGTAAGAGTGTAGCAGTGAGGACAACTGGAAGTCACTCTCATTACCATCTTGGTTTTGGTGGGTTTGCGCTGGCTTCTTTACTGCAACCTGTTTTAGCAGCAAAGTCTTTGTGACCTGTATCTTGTTCTGACCTCCTATCTCATTCTGTGATTTAGAATGCCTTTCTAGGAATGGAGCCCAGTAGTTATCAGTCTTATTATACCCAGCCCCTTTTCAAGATGGAATTGCTCTGGTTCAAACGCTTCTGACAATTTTGTTTATTTTTTGTAGAGACAAGGTCTCACTGTGTTGCCCAGGCTAGACTCAAGTGATTCTCCTGCCTCGGCCTCCCAAAGTGCTGGGATTACAGACATGAGTCATTGCACCCAGGCTTTCTCTGTCTTTATTTACTATTTTTGTCAGCTGGGGCACTTGTTAAAAGACTCTTATGAATCCCTTTTTTCTCTGACTTCCATTCACAATATAGAGCTGAGTCACTCACATCCCATAGGTTGTCCAGAATTTCTCTTCCCTGGCTAACAAGCCACTGGCTCTGCTGCATGTCCATGGGTTCCTGTGGATCCTGTGGTGCAAAGGCTGAGACCCCAGCCCTAAAGCAGAGCCCAGCACAGGAGACCACCACCAAGGCCCTTGCTCAGATATTTTGTTTCTGTTGGTGAAACCTCCACTCACTGTTCTCACTCACCCTGGTAAGTGGAAAATGAGCCCGTATGAAAATGGTCTTGCGACTGGGAGCCCTGCTAAACGCTTGTTCAGGTTAAACTCCCTTCACTAACAGAGAACATAACTGACTGAGCTTAATCTCCTAGGATATTTCTCTGTGCTGAGAGCCTAACGAGGAAAAACGTTAAAACAGATCACTCAGCTGATGGCAAATGTATGTGACCAGTTCCTGGCCTCAGCCACAGAAGGGACGTGATGGGTTGCACCTTGGCACCACCCCTTCCCCCACTGCCCCCACTGCCTTGGTCTAAATGTGCATCTTGCAGAATTCTTTGCACAACAGCAGACCTATTGTGAGGACTTTACTCTCCCTACCCCATGCCCCAAGCGAGTTAAGATGTTTACTTCCAGTACTAGAAGGAGGCGGGCATGCAGGCAGAAATGAAAGGAATGCTAACCAAAGTCAGATTTTCAGGCCACTCCACTCACTGGGGTCTGCTTTAACCTCTGGGGACAAAGTAAATGAAAAGCTGGATTGTTGCATTCTGCTCTCAAGGCTAAAGTTTTGATTCAAGGCTTTCCTTTTCAGTGCCTCACAGCCTTGTGTTCCACTGTGATGCTACTATTTACTCATCCTTTTGCACAGGAGGTCACCTAGTGTAGACAAGAAGAACTGGAGACTGAGTCTTCATCTATGGCCTGTCGGAACCTAAGAAAGCCAGTTCATTTCTCTCAGTCTCAGTGTCCTTATCTGCAAAAGTAGGGGAATTATACTGGGCTTGCTGGATTGGTTTGTATGTGTATGTGTGAACTATAAATGTTTGAAAACTACTATACCCTTAAGAACGGGTTACTACTGCTATTACTGTTATCTGTGCCTTTATGTATGTACCTGTCTCCTCTATGAGGCTATGCATTTGAGAGCGAGAATTGAGTCTGTATTGCTAATGGCAATTACAGTGCCTGCCAAAGAGGCGGTGCTGTGGAGGCCAAAGCAACTCCATCTTGGATGCTAATGCATCACTTTAACTTCCCATTAACCCTTGCTCTAGGAAGGCCTCTAAGATTTCCAGTTTATTTGATGTTCCTTGTGTGAGAGTGGGTAGTTACTGTAAATCCTACCCTGAGGTCAAAACAACCTTAATGTTATAGTACTTCGATTGTTTTACATATCCATTCTGAATCGCATATACCCTTTCCAATAGCATATAAGCCCTGGGTGTGAGAATAAATGGTGCAGGATCCACCATCTTGCCTCACTGCTGCCTGAGACACAGACATGGCTTCTGTTTGTGAGTCCCGATTAAATGTATGTTTCTGAGGAACTGGATCTGTCAGCCTCTTTCTTTTTTTCTTTTTTTTTTGAGACGGAGTTTCACTCTTGTTACCCAGGCTGGAGTGCAATGGCGCGATCTCGGCTCATCGCAACCTCCGCCTCCTGGGTTCAGACAATTCTCCTGCCTCAGCCTCCTGAGTAGCTGGGATTACAGGCACACACCACCATGCCCAGCTAATTTTTTATATTTTTAGTAGAGACGGGGTTTCACCATGTTGACCAGGATGGTCTTGATCTCTTGACCTCGTGATCCACCTGCCTCGGCCTCCCAAAATGCTGGGATTACAGGCGTGAGCCACCACGCCCGGCCTATCAGCCTCTTTCTTTGGTCTTACCTGGCCCCCATGGAACAGGTGCTCCATGAAGGAGTAAGTGCTGAGCATTTAGATTTTGGCAAGGGGCAGCAGCCACCAGGAAAGAAGAATCTATGCATAATTACCAACCCTGCTTCCTGAGCCAGAGGTTCTCAAATTCTTTGTGTTCAGGACACATCTGAAGAGACGGGCATATTCAGACAACAGTGACTCAGCAATCATTGCAACTTAATCCCTATGACTGAAGAACAACATCTCATAATGTTTATAAAAGCAGCCACTATGATCCCACCATTTACTGGGATGCGCTTCAGCACTGTGGTTAGAGGGTGGAATGCTGACTGCCCTAATTTCCTTCCGCGAGTGTACGCAAGAATTCTCACCTATCTAGTTACCCTCTATATTTCTTGGTCACTGGCTCGGCAACATCCCTCTTGCCTCCTCACAGCGCTACATAGTGTGCTGGTGTGCAGTCACGTTTCAGGCAGGCACTTCAAATTTGCCCTTGGAATTCCAGGATTTTGCTTTTGCAGTTTCTAATTGTCAACAGTCCTGAAGGCCCTTGACAGGTGGTCATTTGCAATTTTGCTGAGGTGTCAATTTTTAAAAATTAGTTTATAAGTAATACTAAGTCTACGTGTATTGCAAAATGTCCATGCACTAAAAAAAATACGGAAGAAAACTCGTAGAAGTCTTCCTTTATTGGTATCAGTCACAGCAGGCCGGGTTATACTGCAATAACAAATGTCCCCAAACCTCAGTGGCTTTACTTATTTATTTGTCCTGTGTTGCCCAGGCTGGTCTTAAACTTCTGGTCTTAAGCAATCCTCCTACCTCACGTCCCAAAGTGCTGGGATTATAGGTGTGAGGTTGTTTTTCTTGTTCGCATTGCAAGTTTTTCTATTTTTCTTCTTCTTTTAAAAAATATTTATTTATTTTTAATTTTATTTTATTATTAATATTATTTTTGAGATGGAGTCTGGCTCTGCTGCCTAGGCTGGAATGCAGTGGAGCAATCTCAGCTCACTGCAACCTTTGTCTCCTAGGTTCAAGCAATTCTCCTGCCTCAGCCTTCTGAGTAGCTAGAATTACAGGTATGCCCCACCACGTCTGGCTAACTTTTGTATTTTAGTAGAGACGGAGTTTCCCTATGTTGGTCAGGCTGGTCTCAAACTCCTGACCTCAAGTGATCCACCCGCCTTGGCCTCCCAAAATGCTGGGATTACAGACGTGATCCATGGCACCTGACCATACATGTTTTTCATTAAGTCCTGCTTTTCATGAGCTCTGCTTTTTATGATCTTGACTCCAGAACCAAATCTAATGGAAGAACCTAACCTCTATCTGGATCTCATGGCAGAAAAAAGTGGATAAGGCAAATGGTGCCCTGACTTCTACAACTTTGCACAAAAGTGACCAACATCACTTATTGGCCAAAGCAAGTAATATGGTCATTCCTGAGATCAACAGTATGGGAAAATATCTTCCGGCAGGGAGAGGCACTGCAGGGTAAGAAACTGGAATGTTTGGTAAAGGATACCAGCATCCAGCACCTCCTCCAACAACTACTTCCCTCCCAGAAGCAACTGTTCTAGACAGTTCAGGGTGCAACCTTTCAATCTCCTTGCCTATGTATTTGCTGACATATCTCTACAGGCATTCACGTAAATATCGAATTTTGCATGTAATTTTCTGCAACCTGCTCTGTTCAATTAATATGCTTTCATCCCAGTGTATATAAGTCTACCTGACTTTTTCTAACGATAGCACGGTGTTTCATACCATAATATATTTAAATTCTTTGTGTACATTTTGGATCTTTTCAACATTTTTTCATATTACAAATAATGCTGCAATATTTATTCATATGTATGCATACATCTTTGTGAATATATGTATTTCTGAATGATAGGTTTCTAGAAATTAGTCGTTAAAGTATGCATGCATTACAGTTTTTAATAGATTCCAGAAATTTTCCATGAAAAATGCCTTTGTCAATGTTCACAGCCACTAGAAATGTAAAGGTGCCTGATTTCCCAAATCTTCAACAACTCAGTATTATCAGACTTTTTCACTTCTGTAAATCTGATGGATTTTAAACGGGTAGTTCATTGTTTAAATATACTTAATATATCACTTCTCGGCCTTTTGGCTAGGATCAAGTGAATATACTTACTGTATTTTTTTGCTTATAGTGAGGTTGAGTACTGTTCATATTTACTGGCTAATTTCACAATTTGTTTTCTCTTGTGAATTGTCTGTTTCCATTAGTGATTTTTAAATCTTTTTCTGTTTCATCTTTTTCTTTTAGATTTGAACAAACCATTTTATGTATTTTCTCAATAGTAATCTGTCTATATTATCATCTGTGTCTAGATTACAACAGAAATTCATTCCTAAACACCAGAAACTGAATGAAAATACTAATGAGAAGTCCATTTCCTATCAATATAACACTGCCAGTAAATCTCCTAGAACGCCGGAATATGTCAATGTATTTAACAAATTACTTAGTATATAAGATGCATAAAACATTGCTTTCTTTATTTTTTAATCTTTTTAGAGTAAGGATCTCACTCTGATAGGCTGGAGTACAGTGGCATGATCATAGTTCACTGCAGCCTCTAAATCCTGAGCTCAAGCAATCCTCCCACCTCAGCCTCCCGAGTAGCTTGGACTATAGGTGTGTGCCACCATACCTGGCTAAGTTTCTAGTTTTTGTAGAGACAGAGTCTTGCTATGTTGCCCAGGCTGGTCTCAAACTTCTGGCTTCAAGCAATCCTCCTGCCTTGACCTCCCTAAGTGCTGGGATTAGAGGCATGAGTCACCCCACCTCACAAAACATTGTTTCCTGATCACAAACAGTTAATAGGACTTTTAACAGATGTTTGCTTGTGTGGAGCCGTCAGCCTCCTACCCACATCCCTTTGCTGACACTTGGCACTTTCCAAAACATCTGCATGTGATTTTGACATCCTTCCAATTAGAATTGGACAGTAACTGGAAAATTCTTCCCCTTTCCCTCACACACATCCTACTTTGTTTAAAATGTTATCTTGAGTTTGGGGAATGTACGAATAAAATGTTCTATATAAACACTGGTACAAAAAATATTGTATTGGATAAATATGGACATTTTATGACGTCTGAGTGTTGAAGCTAAGAGTAGTTCTACTGAGAAAAGATTACCTGGGGAGGCTGCTTGTGAGGTATACTCTGTTTGCTTCCAGCCTAGCCATTTTGTATTTCATTTTATTATTTTATTATTTATTTATTTATTTATTTATTTTGAGACAGAGTCTCACTCTGCTGCCCAGGCTGCAGTGCAGTGGCATGATCTTGGCTCACTGCAACCTCCACCTCCCAGGTTCAAACGATTCTCCTGCCTCAGCCTCCCGAGCAGCTAGGATTACAGGTGCCCACCACCACACCCAGCCAATCTTTGCATTTTTAGTAGAGATGGGGTTTCAGCATGTTGGCCGGGCTGATTTCCAACTCCTGACCTCAGGTGATTCCCCTACCTCAGCCTCCCAAAGTGCTGGGATTATAGGCGACAGCCACCATGCCCCACCCATTTTATTTTTAAATTTTGTTTATGGTATCTTTTTAGATGCAAAATTTACCATTTCATATAAACAAATCTGTCAGTTATTTTGTTTAAGGTTTCTGGATTTAGGTCTGGCTTTAGGAGATTCTCCCCATCTCAGGATGATTTTTTCACATTCTGCTAAATATATTTTAAAGTTGTTAGTTTTGCTTTATGTTCAGCTCTTTAATCATAAGGAATTGATTGTTAAGTAAGGTATGAGGTGGGGTGGGGCAGTCTAACTTTTCTCTGTCCCCAAACAATTAGCATAGTAACCTAGTGCTATGTATTGAACATTTTATTCTGTCTCCAGCTGGTCTGAAATGCTACTGTCCTAGTCCATTTTGTGCTGCCGTAACAGAATACCTGAAATTGGGTGATTCGTAACGAACAAAAATTCATTGGCTCACAGTTCTGGAGACTAAGAAGTTCAAGATCAAGGCACTGGCAGCTGGTGAGGGCCCTCTTGCTTGTCATTGTATGGCAGAAGTGGAAGGTCAAGAGCGCAAGAGAGAGAACCCACTCCCACCGGCCCTTTCTGAATGGCATTCATCTGCTCATGAGGATGGATTCCTCATGACCTAAACACTTCCCGTTAGCCCCTACCTCCAAACGCTGTCACATTGGGAATTCAGTTTCTAAAACATAAATTCTGGGAAACATTCAAACTGTAGCATTGTGTAACTTAAATTCTTAGGATTTAAAAAATGTATTCAGTATAATAAAGCATCAAATTTTATAGTGAAGCTAAATACAAAAGTGCAGTTTTAGGGAGCATGAGATGAATTATCATGTATCAACACCAACATTCTCTGCTCATTGTGACTGTCATAAAGGTAAAAACTTTTTGTATGTGACAAACTAATCTATCAGCAAGACAACCGCTAATGATGCATGTCAAGGGATCTAAGAATGTGAGATGCCATTATAAATAACTGGAGTCCTGTAGGAATAGAATTATCATTATTATTATTTTGAGACAAAGTCTTGCTCTGTCACCCAGACTGGAGTGCAGTGGCATGATCCTGGCTCACTGCAACCTCCGCCTCCTCAGTTCAAGTGATTCTCATGTCTCAGCCTCCTGAGTAGCAGGGAATAAAAGCACAGGCTAACATACCTGGCTAATTTTTATGTTTTTTGTAAAGATGGGATCTCACCATGTTGGCCAGGCTGGTCTCAAACTCCTGGCCTCAAGTGATCTGTCCGCCTTGGCCTCCCAAAGTGCTGGATTACAGGTGTGAGCCACTGCAGCCAGCCAGAATAGAATTATTAAAGATTTGAAGAGATCAATTTATTTTTCAGTTATTCTTTTCTATGTTTTACCTTGGGCCTTTGTAGGTTTGATGATGTTCAAGAATTCTACGATTCAAGGCCAGGCATGGTGGCTCATGTTTGTAATCCCAGCACTTTGGGAAGCCAAGGCAGAAGGATTGCTTGAGGCCAAAAGTTCAAGATCAGCCTGGGCAACATAGCAAGACTCTGTCTCTACAAACACAATTAAAAATGAGAAAAAAAAATTCTAAGATTTAGTAGTTCTGGGAAAGACCCCCAAAACATTCAGGTTCTGTTGTTCTGTGAGCTTTTCTGTTTCCAGAGATTCACCTGCAATTGATACCACCGTGGCCCACACACTTTGTGAAAGGGAAGACTGCCTTCTCTACTTCCATTTTCTTCTCTTTCCCTCAGTCACTCCTCATCCCATGGCAGTGACTGCTCCTGACTGCTTCCATCTGACTGCTTCTTCCCCACGCCTCAGAAATGCCTCATCCAGGAAAGTCTAGTAAGAGAAGTTTGAAGATGCTGGACCGGGGCTGAAGGGTTGGAGAAAGGGTCAAATAATGGCCGACATTATTTGGTGATGTCTTTGAGCCCACTGTGTCCCAAGAGAATGGACTGAAAATCGGGTAAATTAGCAGATGAATTGGCAATTTCCCCCAAAAGAGAGATGAACAGATTGGAACAGACTATGGTAAGAAATAAGAGTGGGTCAGATGCTTTTCTCCTCTCATCTTCTTTCTTTCTCTGTGTGTGTGCGTGCACACACACACACACACACACACACACACACACAGGCTCCTTTGTGTCTCAAGACAAACAGCTTCATCCACACCCTGAGGGAAGATCAGATGGCAGCATAAAATGAGGTGGGCAGCCTGGGCTGAGGAGGCAACACTGCCAGCTGTGTGAGCAATGTGGAGGATGGCATTGCCAGGAAAGGGTACTGATGGCTGCCAGTCCAGGCTGTGGACCTCCTAGACACTGGCTGCCCTCCAGCCATCCAGGAGATCCCTTCTCATTGTTTTAGGGGCCTTTTACCTCTGGAGGGCTTCACCTCTGGAGCCCAAACCCTCTGTGTCCCTGCCAGAGCTTCTCAAACTCTGTCTACTGAGCCATTCCCAGCAACCAGAAGCCTCAACTCCTAACTTTGGAGAGGACGAGGCACTGTCAGTCCCACCCTAGGCAAGTGTGATTTTTCTGCTGTCTTCAGCTTTATCTTTAAAACTGAGGAACAGTTTGTGTTCTATATCATGTTTCTGTGCTCGTTTTGATATTTTTAAAAATGTATTTTCAATGTCATGCCTAACTCTTCCTCTCCCTCCCCATTAGATTCCATTATAAAACTCTACACTCCTCTGTGCTTCATGGTGCTCATTTCAACTGTAATTAATTCGTGGTTCCCAGTTGTTTACATGCTATCCTTCCCACTAGACTGTAAGCTTCAGGAAGCCAGTGGCCATGCCTGTCTGGGTCGTCACCCCTGCATTCTCAGTGCCTGGCCAGAGCCCGGCCCCAGCTATAGCTTTTGGCTTCTATGGCTACAGTTGTCTTATAAGAAGACTGACGTGAGAATTTCAGGCCTCATGCAGGTCACGTGACTGCACCTTCTTTTACAAGCAGAAAGCCCTGGGCCCACAGCTTGACAAAGGGGCTATTATTCAGGAAGGGTCCAGGTGAGAGGTGCAATCCATCACTGCTCCCGGCCCAGCACTATCGCAACTCCTGGCACCCTCCCAGTGACAGCAAGACAATGACATCACCTCAGAATACATAAACAAAAGACGCCCTATTCTTCAAAGCTCTCCAAGGAAAATTACTTTTTTAGCCCATTCTTGCGGTAATATAGTGCATAAATATGATCAGTCAGAGTTTCCCAGATTCAGTTCAAGGGCATAGGTGATTTGGTACGTATTTGATTTATGGAAGTTTTCTGAAGTCAGAGAATAAATTGAAGCATGTTTTGCTAAGGGTAGGAAAATAACTCAGTTTGGAAGAAGAGCTGATTTCTCAGGTAAGTAATTATAAGTGATATCAATCCCTCTCACCCCTGGGTCTAGTTTTCTCATCTCCTACACAAACCTTTAGTGACAACTTTCATCCTTATCATTTCTCTCTCTCTCTCTCTCTCTCTCTCTCTCTCTCTCTCTCTCTGAGATAGGGTCTTGCTGTGTTGCCCAGGCTGGTCTTAAACTCCTGGCACAAACCATCCTCCTGCCAGCGCCTCCCAAAGTGCTGGGATTACAAGTGTAAGCCACCATAACTGGCCTCATTCTATCATTCTTAATATCCACAGAACACTAATCAGAAAATTCATGGGTTAAAAAATGTCAGTTCCTCAAAACAGCAAAGTACTATCTGCAAGTTCCATGTAAAGTTTGTGATTAAACACTTTAGTCAAACTAAATTGTGGAATAGTTACTATGGTAACTGCCTGCATTTATTGAGTGTTTATTATGTGCCAGATATTAGGCTGAGTTCTTTGCGTGGTTTATCTCATTTATCTTCATAGTGAACACGTGAGATGGTGTATCAGTCTGTTCTCATGCTGCTGCTAAAGACATACTACTGGGTAATTTACAAAGAAGAGAGGTTTAATTAACTCACAATTCCTACATGGCTGTGGAGACCTCAAAATCATGGCAGAAGACAAAGGAAGAGCATGGTGGCAGGCAAAAGAGCTTGTGTAGGGGAACTCGCATTTAAAAAGCCATCAGATCCCATGAGACTTATTCACCATCACAAGAACCGCACAGGAAAGACCCGCACCCATGATTCAATTACCTCCCACCGGGTTCCTCCCATGACATGTGGGGGGTACAATTCAAGATGAGATTTGGGTGGGGCCAAATCTCATATCAGATGGGGAGAATTATTATTTCTATTTCATAGATGAGGAAATGGATACTTGGAGAGCACAGGTAACTTACTCTAGATCCTGTTCCTTACAGGGAACAGAGCCAGGGCTCTGATGCTGATTTACATTATTCTGTAGCCCAGGCTCTTACCACTGGCCATGAAAAAGCAACGAATGAAAATTTGCATTTGAGAAAGAAAGAAACATCTGTCACTCCAAGTACAAGTGCTGGTCAGCCTGTGTTTCCCAGTTCAGGG